TTGATTCTCACTGTACATACTATCATCTCAATAAAAGTCGACTGAATCATTTTGGCTAATATATTAACTCCCGTCGCTGTTTTGGCAAACACATTAACTGTTGTGTTTTTGCAAGCGTGCTTTCATTAGTCTGCTTGCTTTGACGGGTCAATTTTGTGTTAGCGGAAGTGAACCTTTTTAATAAGTTTTTCCAAGAGTGGGTTTCAAGTTTTCTAAGCTGATTTGAGGCAAATGCTTGTTCAACTGTTTTGCTATTGTAATCAATGCTATTAGTTGAATTTTGGCACCTAATTTGCTCATCTGTCGCTGTTTAGGCCCTTTACGTACAGGCCCTGCTGGTTGAATGAATGGAAGTCCGCTGAATCCGCCCCAGCAAGGAAGCTGCCAGAGGCAGATACAACGATCGCTGGGTGCCTTTAATCCATGTCGACACTTATGCCTTTGATTGATCTATGTCGTCCACTATTCTGCTGGCTTCTTCTTGATGTGACGTCGGGGAAATTTCATGGCAAGCGATCCAGTTTGTCACTTTTAGACGACTTTTTTTTTTTTATTATTATTCATAGAGTTCAACTCCAATTGAAACATTGGATGGCACAAATATCTCAAATAATTAAATATTTCGCTACATCATCAACACATTTTCCAATTCGCCTTTTTATATTTATACTCCCTCCGTCCCACTTTGATAGTCTTATTTTCCTTTTTCGTCTGTCCCAAATTGTAGTCCACTTTCCCATTAAGAAATGTAGTAATCTTTCAAATTATCTAAAATACCCTTATTAAATATCTTGTTATTAATACATTGTTATTAAATACTAACCCACTACATTGAATACATTGAGCTTTTCCAATACTAACCTATTAGCTGTAACTGATATTAATTGGCACTCTTCGTGATTAGCGTAAGGGTATTTTAGGAAATTATTAATCTAAATTTATGTTTCCAACCAAATTAATTACACTTTCTTAATCTGTGTGAAAAAAAAATCAAGACAAACAAAACGGGACGGAAGGAGTAGTTATCTTTTTATCTCACATACATCACATCACAAAAAAGTATTACAATAATTATTCCAAATAAGATTTTAAATAATACTCTATCCAAATAAACCCATCCTCACTTTTACCTTCGTAGAGGACGGTATCAAAAATATTTTGGAAAGCAATTTTCTAAAAAAAATTATTGCTTTTTTCGTGAACACATTTTTCAATCATCTTTTTACCTCACATGTATCAAATTGTTATAGTAATTTTTCTATAAAAAAAATTCAAATAAATGCAATCTAAACAGAGCCTTAATTGTTAGATTTTAATTAAACATTCATGTCCACAACACAAGTACCTCATAATACTTTCATATTGAATGTATTTCCCCACTTTCAGAATCGACATTCACACTTTAAGGCTTGAGATATGGCTTAGGTGTTTAAGGTTTTGTTTTAAAAAATAAGAAAAATTAAATATTAGCATGCCGATTAAATAAGTATTAAACAGGAAACATCCATTTTCACACCTACCTGTTATAATCTCACAGATCAGCTAAATAATCAGCTTCCATTTTGTTCTCACTTGGCATCTATTGAGCGCATAATAGGACTGGAATCTTTACACTCTACATAATTGCGTGTCCTGCAATATGCAAATCTTAAAAAAACGCAACGCACTGACAGATGTCAAATAAGCAATCACGAGTCTCTCAATAATTAAGCAGTGGTGAGCACTTTGATTAGTAAATAAGTATAGCACTAATTAACCACTCCTCTTTTTGCCAAGAAAGATGAATTATCATTCTTTAATCCTTTCTACGTGAGACTTCACTTTTACCGTTTGCTTCGAGTGACATACAATTAACCAATCAGGTCTACGAGGTGTGCTGGAAAAAAGGATTGGCACTTCACGATGCTTATCAGGTGCAAAATTTTGAGCAATTAGTTGTACGTTGATAGGTATATATATATATATATTCTCTGAATGAAGATGTGTTTTTTTAATTGACGACGCTAATTCAATTACACCTCAACAGCAAAAAATTTCAAAAAAAAAAACACACACACACACACACACAAAAACACACACAATCATATTTGTATGTCATTTGTTGATACCGATAAAATTCATCATAAGAGGCTAATGGTTTGTTTGAATTGTAGTTTATTTCATCGTATCATCAATATATTTTTCAGTTACCTTTCTATCTCACATATATCAAAAAAAAAAAGTATTGTAATATTTGTTTCAAAAAATTATTCCAAATAATATACAATCCAAATACACTAATATAACCTGCAACTGTTCACTTCCAGTTTTTACCTTCTTAGAGCACGGCATCATAGTAAATAGTTGAATTGTTCTCTTCAGAAGTTAATTGGTTCATGGACAATGCTTGAAAATATTTCGTGCTTGTTCCTCTAAAAATTAAAAGAAATTTGAATGTAATCTCCAAATCTATGCATACACAGACATGTATGATTTGCCAAATCCTTAGCCTGGTGGTCTTAATTACAAGTAATAAGAGTCGATGCATTTTCTGTCACCCTTTAATCATGGATTTATCACAAGTTTTCATTACATTTTATTAACTTTTTTTTTTTTCCCGAAACCATAGCTTGTATTAGTATTGCCAAAATTGATAGTATATGGACAATAGTCCAAACAAAAAGGGCAAAGGTCCTACCATCTGTTCCAATACTTTACCACTAAAGATTGGGGTTAACCTATTTTTCATCTAACCAACAAATGTTGAGAGTATATTTGCTAATTTGAACAATCCTGTCATTCTTATCTATGTGAATGGGGAAGGAGGAGTACTGTGAAAACAATGCACTAAGGGATTGCATGTCTTCAATGATTGTAGCCACTCGACTTCCTTGATGATCAGACATGAACTTTGAACATAACTTATCAGCTTCTTGCTTTCCAACTCTATTCAGATATTTGTCCATCTTTGGTCTGCAGCTTTTTGATTATGACCATCTTGACTGCTTCTGCTTGGTATTGCACTGAGTCTCCAGTTTTCCTTTCTCTAATTGCCCAAGTAGCCTGCAGTTGATCTGATTGATTCCTTGCCAAGATCCCAATGCCAACCTCCGGTTGCTTCTTGCTCTGTTGCATATGTATTTTGATGAACAATCTTCCTTATTCCTGCTTGTTCCTTGAGGGTGGCGGGTCACATTAACGATCTATGCATTGTCCAAACCTTCAATTGCTTTAGGCACGCCGACACGCTCTTGGACGACCTTGACCAACGCTTGCAAAGATTCATTTAACTTTTTAGCTCGTGTACATGTCATTGGATCAAACGGAACCTTGACTCACTCAACTTACAGAGTTACACCATCGACCTCATCATTAAGGTAGTCCTGTTATGCTTGTTTCTCGAGTGCTCCCCTATGATCAATTTTCCGGTTAGTTTCGTCGAACTCCATCCATCCCACTCGTGCCTTTCCAATTACTCTGTGAGGTTCTTTTTCTTTGTGGTTGAACTCCCTGTCATTTCTGGGTTTTCAAATTTGCCGAAGGACATTGATTGTCAATGGTATCTGGTCAGCCACTGCTCTAGATTCTTGAGCTTCCATGACTGCTGTCCACCATTTATGAAAAGTATTCTGTCAAGTTGTTTATGCCATCCCATTGTATTGGAGACGTTTTCCATATTTCCTAAGTTTGTTGCACTGCAGTAGCATATGTTCTACTGTTTTTTACTTCTCACCGTAGCCTGACTAGATTGGGTTCCCTTATCTTGCTTTCTTGTGAATGTGATCCTTCACAGGGAGGGCATTATGTAAGCATTTCCAAATAAACTACAAAACTTAAGGACATGTAACTACAAAACACAAAACTCAAATATATGTAATTTAATAGAATATCAATTTTGACACTGTCTACTCTCATTTTTGCATTCACATATAGGATTGAAAGATGAATTAAATAAGGCGATACTCAAACGAGTTCAACTTAGTTAGAAGTTGTTTGAGTTTTGTTCGTCCACTAAACAAACTAAATGTGAATGGTATTTTGTGTTTGACAAAATTTCAAACTTAGGCTATGCTTCACTCAATTAGTAACAAAATATTTGAGACTTACGTCATAAATATTTGAACTAATAGAGCTTGATTTAAATTATACTCAATAAAAGCTCGTGAATTCGGCTCAATAAATAAATAAGTCAAGTTTAAAAATATAAAAATATTAATCACACTTCAATTTTTATTAACGGCACTTTTACCATTTATTTTATTATATAATTTAATAAATAAAAATCATATAATAGAAATGATAGTGAAAGTATCATTAATAATTCTCAAATAAATAAACAAATAACCTTAAACAAAGGAGTGTTGGGCTTGAGTACATTCGTTCATCGTACCCCAATCTACGGACACGAGCGTCATTTCGCTTGAACAAAATATAAGGGCTTAATTATCAGCTTGGCTTGGGTTATTAAGCATTTTTCTGAAAGCGTCCTGTTTCGGTCCACCTTCTTGATTGGACTCGAGTTAGGGTCCAGACACGACATAAAACTTGCGGAGTGGGTTTCGGAGTTAACTTAACGGCCGCATCTTAAGCAACGACGTCGCTTACCTTGTGGTTTCATTAACTCTGATGAGTGAAGGCTGAGTAATCAAACTCGCGAGAGAGCGGCAAACTGAAAACGGAAAAAGCACTCAACAAACCTTCCAGAAACTCTGTAGATGCTCGCAGGTAACTTTTTTCACATTGTTATACTGTGCTTGCCTGCTGCCTGTATATTACGTTTGTATGGTGCCTATGGAGGAAGCTGCCTTTATGCTAATTGTCGCTGCCCTGCACTTTATTTATTCACACTCTCACTGACAAACCATCAAACAATTCACGTGCCAGCATCAATGGCGCATTTAATGGTTTGTTTGTTTAATATAGGTTGGCTTTCAAGGTAGCGGCTTAACATTGTGTCCTAGAGAGGATTTCTTAATGGGGTTTTGTGGGTTTTGAGGGTATGTATGTAGAACTTCTCGACAATGGTTCTGGGCAGAAGTCTGCAGAATAATAAGCAAGAGAAGAATTTCAAACCTGCAAACCGAACATTTGGGGGTTCTGGTGCTAGTAATGGAAGATTAGCTTCTGAATCAAAAGGGAATGGCAGAAGTAAAAGGGTTCAAACTGGAGGGAATAGAACTACAGGTGCTTCTCATCCTAGTCAGAGTAAAGTGACAAAGCAAGGGGTGTTTGGAAAAAGAAGTTTCAAATCAAAGATTAATGGTGTAAGCAATGGATACGTGACTAAGGGAAATAGTGGTTGTAAGCCATCGAATTCTGATAAAAAAGAAAAAGAACTTATGCTGATCAGCCTCCAGACGAGGAAAGAGTGTCCAATGACAATGTAGGATTCCCAGCAAGAAGGTTTTCATCTAGAATCGTGAAGAATAAGCTTAATGATCATTATCATGAAGAAAAGCGGACAACAAAAGGAAACTCCTCTGGGTTTGGAGATTTGAGTAGAAAAGGTTCATTGGCTGGAAGAGGAAAATCCAGGGAAAGTGAGTTGGCGGGCAAGAAAAAGTCAATAGCCAAGGTAAAGGCTGTAGATAAACTGAAAGATGTTGAAGTTGAAGGAGTTAGGAATGATAAGCTGAAGAAAATTGCTAAAAGCAAATCCGACGTAACAAAGCAAATGGAGCAGAACCATGGCAAACATGCTGTCGGCTCTCCTGAAAGACCTTCCAAGAAGAAAGTGCAGTACAAGAAAAATATCACTGATGATTCAGAAGTAATGGATGAAAAGCCTAAGAAGAAAAAGCGAAGGATCAGGCTAGATCCTCATGATACATCAAATAAGAGGCTCGATGATGGAGCAGCTATTAATAGTCAGTAACTTGATACACTTTGTCTCCTCCTTCTCACTCTCCCTCGACACTAATGCGAACATACACCCACAGACATATCTTGAGATGTCATTTTTTTTATAGGTTCATTTTTTGTTCATCAAAATGATGCTTTAGGCACATGCTTATCGCTATTTCCCTCTTTCTTATTATATTTTAATGTCAACGGGGTTCATGCAAATAACATTGAGTTAGGTTTTCCTGGATACATTTGGAATGTAGGACCACTTACATTGTTAGGGCTGGTGCTGGTAATTAAGGAAGGGAAAGACATATTGGTATAGTTATTGGTATACTCACAGACATATTGGTATACATTGTTGAAAACACAAGAAGAATTATTAGCTGTCCATATCAAGCCATTGTCTCTATGTGAAATTTGTGCAGGTTAAGGACTAAATTACTGCTTCTTGCTCTTGGCAGCGCAATATGTCATTCAGTCACTCTAATTGAACTTAAACTACTTGAAAGGAAATTTGAACTTGAACTTTTTGAATTAGATAAGGTGGGTTCTACCTACTTTCTGAAGTTGCAAAATTTGCTGCAGAAACTCAGAAATTGTAAGTAAATCCTTTTATCTGAGCTAGGTGAAGTTTAAAACTATTGTTGATTATATATGTGATTCAAGCTATGTGTGTTTGTCCCATCCATTTGGATCAAGCATTCATACGTCTTCATAATAATCTGTATCTTGGCTCTTTTTAGAACTCTGAGCTGTTTACAAGTGTTGTTCATCTCTTTCTAACTTATTCTCTTGTTTACCTTCCAGATCAGGTTAAAAAGAAGAAGGAAGATGACTCAAAAACTTGTGTTTTGGAGTTGTCCAGAAATGCACAATTTCGAGCAATAGTTCCTAGCCCCTCTATCCTTTCCTTTGTCGAAGACAATGTAATTTACCTATTTAGACGTTCTATGCTTGAATACTAACACCAAAGTCTATATTTTGTCAAACTCTACTTAGCCTACTCAGAGATAAAATTATGAATAAAGTGATTTTCAATTCTTATACAGTTATTAGGCCGAAGACGAGAAATTGAATTTAGGAGGGCTGGCTACAATACTGAGCTTTCTGCTCCTTTAGACAATATTCCCTATTCATCAAGCTCTGAAAGGGAAAGGATTGAAGAAACGGTATGTTCATATGTCATGTATTGCATGGGGTTTTTAACTGGTATTGAACTCCTTTTCTGTTGAGGGATGGGTTGAAGGAAAATACAGCATAGCTAGGTGGATCCGTGTTAACTATGCAAGGAAAGAATTTACTTCTGCGGATTAACTTTTTCGATTTTCTCTGTCTCGGTTCAATTTTCTGGTCAGGTATTTAGAAATAAATTGACATTTTATGCTGCTGCAAAGATTTCCTCATCATTTCCTCCTTCTGAACTTCCAGAGATTGCATTTGCAGGTAAATCTCATGGAAAATTTTTTTCATCTTCTTTGTGAACTCTTCTGCTTATTTATGGTTTGAATAAAGTAATTTTGTCATCCATAAATTGGCCTTTCAGTAGCTGATTAATGTAAAGATGATATGGGTTTATATGATATGGTGAGTGCACTTTCTGCTGGCACCATAGAACTGTATTAGGACATAACAACTGTGTAAGTTGTATGAGAAAACATCAAATGCATACTGCTCCACATTAAAGCCATTGTACAAGACACATAGGTTTGCATGATGAAAGTTGCTTGTCTAATTTATGTTAACATGACAAAAGCTTTTTGGTTACGATGTTTCTGTTGTGAGAATGTTCTGTTTGAGATTAGTTTCGTATGACTTTTTAGCATGTCAGACAAGATATATGCTTTTTTGGCTCCTGTATTTTCTCAAACATGATGAAATTAAACATTGTTTTTGAAGTGGTTGTAGGAAAGAGTGTTATTTATTTCCTTTCTGTCAGATAATCTTGCTGACTTCTCTTATCTGCATTAAAATTCTTTTTTTCAGTTCTCTTTACTATTACTTTTTCATGTTTCTCATGCCTATTGAGGTTGCTCTAGTTATTTCATTGTTGTATAGTAAATTTATGGAGCTGTGCCTTTGAGACTATTTTGATAATATGATAGTTGTAGTGTTTCATTGAACTCAATTTTTTATCAGGGAGGTCGAATGTAGGAAAGTCATCTTTACTGAATGCATTAACTAGACAGTGGGGTGTTGTGAGGACATCAGACAAGCCTGGACTTACTCAGGTGTTACATTTATGACGTCCTTGGATTAAACTTAAAAGTTGCACATGCATATTATCAGCTTATGTTTTTCATGTAGACCATAAACTTCTTCAAACTTGGACCAAAGCTATCTTTAGTCGATTTGCCTGGATACGGATTTGCGTATGCAAAAGAAGACGTCAAGGAAGCTTGGGAGGAGCTTGTGAGTATGCAAATGGCTTTTAGCTTCTTTACAAATTCCTATTCCACTCTTTAGTCTGCTTGGTTTTATCCAGATACAATTGTTGCAATTATTCACTGACGAGTTAGGTCATTGTGAATATTTCGCAATTATGATTCAGATTTAGACTTATCATTTAGAACACTATGCCACTGTTTACTTTTTAGCAAAATTAGTGTTCAATGCATTATTTTGGTCATAGGTGTTTGAAAAAAAAATTGGTTTGAAGCAGGGTATTGCCTTGAACTTTAATAGTCGTTTTAGTACTCACTTAAAATGGAACTGCAGTTTATACTGCATTTCCTGTTCTGGATTCTTTCCATTCTTCTCAATTAGTGCCTTATTAAATGCTCATACGCGAAAGGTTGAAGGTATGGGTTAGAGATATAATTTTTTTGTTAGTAGTCTTTAGCTGGAAATGTTAAATGTAAGTTATATTTTGTGGTAATTACCCTACTTGTTCTATTAAATCTAAGTTTTAGTAATTGCTGGTTGCCATTGTTCATGAACTAGATAATGCCTTTTCAGCAGTGCAGCTATATCAATGATCTTCTTTTCCTGGGTTATAGCTGTATGATTCCCTTGTTACCTTGGCTGTAATTTGCTTTGTTTGAATGTCTTTAATATACTTCCAATCTCTAGGTGAAAGAGTACGTGTCTACACGAGTTGGTCTAAAGAGAGTGTGTCTTCTTGTTGATACAAAATGGGGAATGAAACCAAGGGATCATGAACTTATTGATCTGATGGAAAGGTACAATAAGCATATTATCTGCTCATTAAAAATTTCTCCCTATACAGTCATCTTCTGCTTGGTTTGGTCTTTCCCTCATGTTATTCAAATTGTTAGATGAGATTTTTACAAGAATTGTGGTTTTAGGAAAATAAAATGTAAAGGACACATATATGAATGTTTATGAGGTCTCACCTTGGACTTACTCCAATCATGAACTTATTGATATGATGGAAATGTGTAATAGTGGATGACATTTTTTACAAGAATTTAGTTTTCACCTTGGACTTGCTCCACATAATGAATGTTTTTGAGGTTTCAGCTTGGACTTGCTCTGTCATTAGTTGTTTCTGTAAAGGGATATATCTTTTTTCAAGTTAGATTTTGGCTCAACCTGTAAATCCACTTTCTTCTGTATGGTTAATGTGCAGGTCGCAAACCAAGTACCAGATTGTTTTGACAAAGACAGATATGGTTTTCCCAATTGATGTGGCACGTCGGTCAATGCAAATAGAAGAGGTAAATGCAGCAGAAATAATTTCCCCTTTTACTTCCAAATGTTTTTCTACTCTTTGCTGAGACTAAAATAAGCTCTCTCTGTTTGCTGCAGAACCTCAAGGAAAAAAGTCTGCGGTTCAACCTGTGGTAATAGTGAACATGAAATAAATCTAGCTTCTTTCATCCTGTATTTATCACACTGAAAAAGCATCCCTGTTTTTTTTGACATTGGATTTATTGCAGATGATGGTAAGCTCAAAAACTGGAGCTGGTATTCGAAGCTTAAGGACGGTTCTTGCTAAGATTGCTCGCATTGTGAAGCCTTAGGAGATACTGCTCAAGTGCACCTTTACTTTCCAAGCATATTAGTAGTATGGCATTGACTAATTTGGTCGTCTTGATCTATGAGTGACTCTTGACATTGGTTGGTATGTGAATGAATAAAGGCTCATGTAATGTCCGCAGATTGCTGATATGTTGGTTGAACGTCTAACCAAGAAAAATTTTGGTTGCAGATGTTGAAGGCGCATTGGAAATTGTTGCTGTAGGTCATTGAAGAGCGTTTGAATTCTGAACAGTTTCGAGTGTGAAAAAGTCAAGATTCAAGTTCTCTTTTTAGCCCCAATACTTCATCAAGATTCGGTCAAGAGGAAGAAACTTATACTAATATCGTAGCTGCTCATGGTAAAGTCAGTAGTGATTTTAATTCCGTTCAATTTCCATAAAAACTACAATGGATTCTAATGTTTTGAACTTTTGATATTCTGACATTCACCTCTTCCATGAAACTAACTCTATTTGGTCTAAAAAAACAAGATGATGATGTAAAAGTAGCAGCAGTGTTATGATAAATTCGTGATACACTAAAGGATTATGGTGCAAAATTCTGGAATGGAGATAAGGTGAGAGAATGATGATATTAGGAGGGCAGGGAATTGAATTATCATTCATTGGTGATGCTCTGTCAAAAGTTTTGGTTGAGCTGTTACAACTCACCATCATCATATTTCATTGAAGTTGTGTCTGTGTAGCATATTGATGAATGATGAGCGTGACGTGAGAAGTTCATAAAATTCAACAACGGGTGGACCATTGGCGGTGATGATGCATTTTTTTGTCAATCAATTCAATTTGTGTGGATTTGTTCCATTTGGAGATAGTTGCCCACTACTGCACTAAAAAGTCTCCATTGACTGGGTTCGGTCAGTGTTCATGCAGCTCCACCTCCATTTCACTAAAAAATATGCATGCATGCTTTTTATAGACGGTTGTTGTGTTTTATGAACGAAATTTCCGCTATTAAATTTGTCCAATTGAGAAAAAGGAAGGGGGGGGGGGGGGAAAAAAGAAGAATAAGGAAAGATAAATTAATTTAGAGAGTCGTTCACCTAAACCCCAATCAATGAGCTGCGTGTGCGTTAGGAAAGTAATCGGGGATTTTTCCGGAATGGGTCAACCCTTGCCCGTCGACTTGTCTTCGTGCCTACGCTGTTATTCTTCTCTCCCGCGCTTTTGACATACGTGACTGCCAACTTCTGTTCTGATATGCCTTGGTGGCCTCCATGTCCATTACTAGCAAGCAAAATCATGCTGGTAAATGCACACGTTCTTGGAAGCTGATTGGTTCCCATTACCCTATTTTGTCAACTCCATTCAAATTCGTTTTGTTACAAGATGAATTAATGGAAAGTCGCCAACTAACACTTGGAAAAGAATTATTATGGTAGTTGTGGAATAACAAATTTTTTTTTTTCAAATTTAAAAAAAAAGAAAGGCGAATGCCATCCCAGTCAATCTCCATCATTGCAATTTTTGTTCCCTCTTTTTTTTTTTTTTTTTTTAAATTCTTTCTCACCAATTAAAAAAAAACTAAATCAGTTGAGATTAAAGTCTATAATAGTTACATACCTCCCAATAGAAAGCCATCCCTTTTGGGAATACTTCCATTCTAGAAAAAGATAGTAATGTATAAGTAAAAGATTTTTTTTTTTTTAAAAAAAGGTGTTCTTGAGGCACTTATTACTCAAAAGATTTTCTCAAATTTTTTGTCATGAACAAATTAACACCGAGAGTGAGACCAAATCCACAAATAAAGAAAAGTCAGACCCAATCATACTATGCATTAACTACTAGTAATATGAAAATATAAACAACTAATGATTTATGGATAACCCTAGGAAATTCTAATATGATCATTAATTGTTCTACATAAATTCGTACCCAAAAAAAAAAAAAAAGAATGTTCTATATAAATAATAAATAATATGTGATCATATGAATCCACTTGATCATTTAGAAGTCGCTGGTGTGGAGGTGGCGACCAAATCTTTTCTTCTTACCCACCTCCTTCCGGAAAGGGCCTGCGCTTCCCGGTCTTTCTTTCTCTCTCTCTTCAAAACCTCTCAAAGCAAAGCAGCAAAGGAGGGAAGAAAAACAAAAGATAGGCTAAGAAAAGTAAAGCAAAGGAAAAAGAAAAAGAAGAATGTGTCCATTGAGAATTATCCTAATCTTCCTGTCTGCTACTCTTGCCGGATTCTTCGTCTTCCGAAATCTCAAATCTCAACCCACCACCGATCTTGACTCCGACACCGACACCCTAAACACTGTAGAATGCAATTCCCCAGATAACCTCTCAAAGTCTCCTCCTTTTTCCTCCAAGGTTCCCCCTTTAACTTTCATCCTTTTTCCTTTTCTTTACATATTGTCTAATTATCTTGGGTTTATGTAAATTTTTAACCCCTTCTCTCTTTCTGAATTAATAGGTATGTGGGGCAATTGGGAAAGGGTTTTGGACGTGCGTGGACATGGCAAGTGGAAGATATTTGTGGAGGAATTTGGTGGGCTCCGAGTCCTCTTCTCCAGCTTCTGAAAAGGCCGACTGATGATCCCGGTGGTAAAGGTTGATCATTGGGTGGGATTAGGTTTTGTGATTTGTTACTCCACTTGTTGTATTGTATGCTATGGACTGTGTTCGCTTTCCATTTGTAATTTTGCTTTTCAATTAGGGCTACGAGTTTAGGAGTCTGTATCATCTTAATTGTAAAGCTTTACTGTTATGAAAATACCACGAGAATACTGTGTGGAATGTAGGTTATTTTTCGTAATAATATGCATATTATTCTTGTTCGTTGTGTGTTGGGAATTTCTTTCTTGGTCGGCCGTTTATGGATATATTGAACTTACTGTCTAGTTGAGCCTGAGCAATGTTCTCTTTCTTCCTTGATATCGAAGTTGGTTGACTTTGGAAGGAACATGTTTGGATGGAGGCTTCAGTTTAGTTAAGCCTCAGTGATTGATCATTCGCTTTGGATAACCAGAAATCAAACCCATTAGTCAATAATGCTAAACGTCTTTAGAACTCAATCTTATGGCTGCTTTGGTAGTAATTGTTCCTCTAAACATTTTCTGAACTTGTTCAGTTGTGTACTAGGTAGAAGGAAACTCCACTTATTGATGCTTCTTTCCTGTATGAAGCTGATAAAAGACCTAGTAAGTTGTCCTATTGTAAATCTTCCTGTAGACGAAGCTTTTACATGTCAAAATATGGTTTGCATGTGTCTAGTTGTTATTACATTGAGAGATCTTAGTTGATTTCCTATCTCTGGATAACTTCAGAAGACTTTTCTTGAGTATATGGATTTTCGAACTTTATAGATGTAGAGATCCATTATGTCTTGGAAATTTGTCAAACTTTGTAGCTTTTCACTGGATATGAATGTTCTCTGGTCTTGTATCTGAGAACGTTTATTCATGCAAGAAGCTTGTCAACAGGAAAATTAGGATAATTACTTGTAAAAGTTGTTCTGTTAGGATCATTGCTTGTAAAGGTTGTCTTCTGGGAAACATCATTTACAATTGTTTTCTTGTTGACCTCTTAGGGCTCTAAGAGCTGCAAAGATCCAGTTAAACCAGGCGCATTCTGATGAACATCTTGATAAATTGTGATTGATTACGAGTGTTGTAGTCAACATATTTAAGATTAGTCACTGTGTCCACAAGCAGATGTGTAGATTACGTTACAGCATGTCTGTTTAACCCCCTTTTCTATTAAAGACATCGCGCTGGTAATGTTTGTAGGGGTTTGCTTTCTTTGATGGGAATGGGCATCTACAAGCAAATGGTATATCTGAAGTACATCTATGTTGTAACATCGCAAGGTCAAAAACGTGTTTTAGGAAATTGTAATCTTTATGGATCTTGTTGACAGGCTGAAACTTAGATAGATGAATTCCTTTTCGAACATACTGGGAATTAAATTTGCATATGTGTGTTTTTGTTTGATCTTATGCCTGAAAATGGATTGCCATACATCTAAGATTTGCTTGACATTAGAGCAAAGAAGATTGGTTTATTCTCCACAATTTGGTTTAAAACGTTAATAAAATGTCTCCGAAAAAATTAGTGCAATGGATGGATTGTCAGAAATATAGGAGGAAACGTATGTCAGTTTGTGAAATGAATTACTTGGTCCAGGCTGCTGAATGTAGGGGTGAAGGACGACATTAATAATTTTGTAGACAGAATCGAATCCCTTCCTGTTAATAAATGGGTGTTGGTACGTTTTTAAACTTTTTTTGGAAGAGGCATTGTGCAGACATGTTCCTTGACCAATGCCATCTTATGTTCTGCCTTTTTTCTCGTCCTTGTCTCTGGATATTTTCGCTTTCAGTACTCAAGAAGATAATCTTCTTGACATTTTTAGCCTGCCTTTGATTGCTTACCGGTCTGTTTGCTTAGCAAGGCTGAGGCATCAGGTTTAAGGGGTTCAGAACTCGACTGGTTCAATTTTTTTCTTTTAACCCCGGTTGATTCATATGGGCTACGATTAATTTTATCTGGTCTGCTTTTTAACCTTCTTTAATAGCTGAAACAAGTTTTCGGTTGAACCCCAAAACCCGAGCCATCTGACGTTACTTTTCTGGGTGAAAATTGTTAAAATGTCTGCAATTCCAGTATCGAAGCTTTGCCTCCCTTCACTCTTTAACATAGATTAAATCTAGCCGGTGAAGGAATCTATACGAAGATGACGGATGGTACAAATTATTTGAATCCTTAACTTAAAACCGGATATGATCAATTAATGATGGCGTGTTTCAAGAAAAGCAACTCAGATTGACTTGTAGATTTCATGCGCAGACGCTGCCGTACAATGGAGTTCCAGTCTTCCAGAATCCGAGCAGTGCAAGTTTTTCAATTCAATTTTGACATTGAAATTGGACATCCATACGGATACCCTGCTGTTTCAAACAAAAATTTTTTTTTCTCCGGGACAGACATATTCAGGAGTTAATTGTTTAGAACCATTGCAGCCAACAGCCTCTTGGGCTCTTGTTAAGTCTCGGTGGGAGTGGGAGTGGGAGGTAAGGTTTAACCTTTGCTTCTCACCTTGCCACTTAACTGTGACTTCCTTCGATTGAAAGATCCTGTTGGGTTCCTCTCTTCTTAGATTAGGCTAGAGTAGGCAAATGTTATCGTTGCGAAAAAAAAAAAAAAGTTTAGAACCATTGCACTAGTATGTTGACCATGAGGGTATTTTAAAAAATTAATAACAAATAAAGCAAACCGGTTCAAACCCAAATTTACAGGGTACACGAACTATGGGCTTTTTAAACTGGGAATCGTGAGGCGTAAACAGGAAAAAAGGTTCTCATGTTCGTTAGCCCGCTATTGGAGCCAGTCAGATCCTTATTGGAAAAAGGGACGCAGAATTCAAAATATTGATCCAATCACAACGGTCGAATTACGCCTGATCCAAAGGATAGCTAGCAAATCCATAACAGAGAGAGGAGAGAGATGGGAGAAGGAAAGGCGAAAAGAAACACCGGAAACCCTAATCCCGAACAAGGAGAAAATGATCAAACGCCACCGACTTTATGTGAAGCAGGAGGAGAAGAAGAAAGAGCAGGAAAAGGAGGGAGCAAGTTTTACGCGTATATCTACTAACTTCGCTTTCCCCAAGATTCAAAGGTTCCTCTTATATCGGGTATGTAGCAGGTTTGGATCCCCGTCATTTCTGGATCCATTTTTGAAACTTGAGTTGGTTCCCTAGCTTTATCTTGGGAGTGTTTTGAATCAGGGAAATTGCTTAGTGATCGGTTGCCAAGTTTCTCAATTTTCTTTGAATACAATTTAGCATATATTTAATGTCGTGAGTGTTGGGTGGGTGCTGTAGGTTTACAGTGAATCCTCGTCGCAGAATAAGGCAACACAACGGGGAGATAGGGAGCGGTGCTTGGAGGACCAAAAGAGGCGACCGTGGGAGATGGTCCTTTGCATTTATGGCTTCCCCACCAACGTTGCCGCTCTCCAGGTACATGTTACACGATTCAATTCTGTTGCACTAGCAGTGAGTTAGATGTTACCTTTTGTAAATGTCGTTGACACGCCTTGGACTATTTGTTTTAAAGTTCATTTTTTTAAAAAATTTTAAGCTGCTAAATTGAGTGCTATACTGGTGAGTGGACGTAAGATTAGTGTTTATGAGTTTTTTTCTGTGACCGCTTGGTTAGCGTAGGCAAAGACAGTTTTGCAGATTGTGGATTCTATGCAATAGATTTGTTCTTTTTAGCTCCATCTTTTGTTCTCCTCTCTGATTTGCCCTCTTCGTGCCATAGTTCTCTGTTGAGTTACACTTCTGAATTCTAATAGCTTTGCAACCCACAGCAAGTACCAACTTTTTTTATCATTGATGGGCCTAGAATGATGTTAACATGAGAGCCAGTTCTTTTTGCCTTAATTATGAAATGAGGCAGCATACTAATTGCTGTCTAATGAATCGAATTGCAGTTGAGTGGGCCTGGCAGCATCCACTAGGATCACTGGCGGTAAGAAAAGCAGCTGCTACCTTCAAATCTCTTTCTGGGCTTGCAAATAAGATAAAACTTGCCTACACTATGCTCACCCTTCCTTCTTGCAGAGGTATTACAGGATTCCTAGACGTGCTAAGCTTGAAATACTGACTGAATTTTGGTTATTTACTGATGGCTAAAGTGTTGCTCCTGTGTACAGCTTAAATCTCACAGTAAACTACTTTTCCACAAAATACATGACGCTCGCATCTGGTTGCCCTAGCCTGCCGGAACAAACGAGGGTACAGTTTGGTTCTATGGATGAGCTTCCGTGCTATACAGGGGGCAATTTATGTGCGGGGGAAAATGATGACTGGGATCCTGCTGGGTGACGACTGTGAGCACAGTGGTGGATCTGAGGAATCTGCAGAGGATGGATCAGCAGATGCACAACCGCTGAGCAATATTGAACTTGTTCAAGATGGCTTCAAAGAAACTGAAAATCTCGGTCTGTATAACTGGACTGAAGCAATTGCTCACGAACAACAAACGTCAACAGAAAGCAGCGTCTTCGAACTGCCAAAGAACTTGCAAATTAGCAAAGAAGAGGCCCAGAAGCAGTCATTCCAGCTCGACGACTTTCTGGTCTTCGGCTGCAGTAACGCAACAAGAATTGCTGAAGATACAGGAACATTCAGATTGTATGATGAATTTAACGTCGCAGACCCTCAACTGCCCAGGCAACAATCTGTACAAAATGTAACTCTGAATAAATTTGAACTCCCTTGCACCTCATCCGAAGTTGAGGTAATAGATTTGTCTACACCCTCACCTTGCTACAATGTGAGTACAGGGAATAAAGAAGAGACTCTCTGTTGGATGTCCTGAAATAATAGACTTGACCAATTCCCCATGTTTGTTTAAATACAGAAATATGTCTTAGAATAATGTAATTACTGCTGGATGATGCAAATAATATATGCGATCCAGAAATAAATTGAGTTTCTTACACACTTATTTTGCGACTTCTTATTTTCATCCATCTGAATCTTACCCAGGGAAATTGGATTTCGTAGAGATCTGTTACTGGGGGTTTGCCATGGTACCTGAATGAATGTGAGTGCAAAATGGCATTCCTGCTTTATACAACAGCTGATCGCTAGATGAGTGTCATTCCTGACAATTTAATTCCTTGACAAGTGTTGTTCTCGACAGTTGACAATTTATCACTATTTTAAGCGGTCATTTCACATGAAATCTGCAGCGCATAGGATTTTGCCTGGTTCAATCACATTTACTAATTCATTTACCAGGGAATTTCCATCAAAATCGATATTGATAACCTGATAATGATGAAGGATTAACTAAATTTAGAGCCCGAGGTTTTGCCATAATTTCATTTGCACCCCTAGGATTTCAAGAAATAACTAAACCCCACCATCCCCGTTTCACCTTCCCTCACCGAAGAAGTCAACCATTTTTTTTTTGCGTTGTGGATAAGGGATGATGGACTTGTGGCCATCGTTCTCTTTAGTGTAGATCGCAGACAACACGCTGCACAGCATGGCACAGTATTTGATACAGTAGTATAGTATGGGCTTGCGCCTTACAGAAGACGAGCAAAGAGAAAAACCACAGTAGCCATCCCCGGCCTCCTCCAACCAGCAGCTAGAAGCCCCGGACTTCTCCCTCGCCGGAAATTAAGTTCCTATCTCAGTATTACAGTCATCAGACAGAACCTGTTCGTGGTACAACTTAGTCGCAACATAAAAAAGGATCACCGCAACAGAATGTTTGAGCACGTCACCGCGAATGAAATAGCAGGGTATGGTGTTGGTGCTTTGCTACTTTTTGCCACAATTTCAGCTCCCAAGATTGACTCTTTAATTGCAGCTTCCCAGCGTAGGTAATATTTTCTTTTTCCCCCTTTTTCGCCTTATATCATATGTCACATTCTGCTCTCTCTATCTCTGCTGTAAAACCTACTAGATGAGTAGGTTGACAAGGATGAGGTTGTTAGTACTAATCGTGATTCTGCATGGTAAATTTTTTTGATGGCTATTTGTTTTTGCCAATGTTTACGTGTGCTTTTGTTCAACCACTGTGAAACATAGCGTCCATAATCTGGCAACCACCATCAGGAAAAGCTTTAGCTAGTTACTACTTCAATTTAGAGAAATGGAAGTGTTATTCTAGCTGAAATTGAAGTGACTAGCTATTTGATGAATGACACCGGTAAGATTTCTTTGTGCATTTTCTTGGACAAGCAGTTCATTGGGCATGTGCAAGAGATGTGGTGATTTGAGGTTGATAGCATGCTCAAGATGCAAGGGATCTGGTTCGATCACTCGAGGAGGTCCGTTCAGTCTCAATCCAGTAGATAGTGCTTACCAGTCCTTCAGGGTCAAGTCCAAAGAATTATCCATCTCATGCACCAAATGTCAAGCCAAAGGACATTTTGGCTGCCCAGCTTGTTCTCGAGTGCCCCAAGCATGATCTTCCATACGACATGAAAACCAGAGCATAAGCAGTTGTTGTCAAAATGAGATGTTATGTGGTAACATACTTGTGCTTCATACTAGTGCTCGAAAGGGAAATCAGTATTCTACTGAAGTTCATGGAAAGACGTGACCACGTCTGATTGATAATATCAGATTTTATATTCATTTACTTGCATGTGTCATAAACCTGCAGAAATTGGCATAATGTCCTCAACCGGATAATTCTAGCCAAATTGAGATTTGAGAACCGAATCTCCCTCAGAGCTAGGACAAACTATTGAATCGGCCAGACCATACGGTTTGCTTACAGAGAAGTATTTCGTCTCTAAACAGGAGTTATTTCTGGATTGTTCTTACTTCGTCAGCAAGGACAAAAGGAAACTAGCTCTTGCCCAATTTAGTTGCTGTGTCTATGTTCAGTTGTAAAAAAAGCTATTTGTGGGACATCCGATTAGACTCTTCTACGAAAGGCTGATACTCGAGGCACACTGATTAATGGATATCAGATCATTCCTTATCAACCCGGAATCCATTAATACTATAGCCCCAGTGCATGAAACAGCAAATACTGCCCGTCAGGTCCTTTTTTTTAAAAAAAAAAAAAATTTGGCCTGCCATTGGTTCAAAGGAAAATGTCTTAATATGAATAAAAGGCCTGAAAGTCACCATAAATAAATTAAAAACTGGGATTCCTTAACATAAACAGTGGTATGCAGTGGCAACAATTGGTTGAAGGTACCCATAAAAATACTTCAAGATTGAGACGTTGGTCTACAAATGCATAGGCTATATTTACACATGCATTAATATGCAACATACAACCGAAAGTAAGGGATTTGGAGTCGGGGAAAAGGGACACCTTGAACCCGTAAAAATACATGACAATGTGGAATACAAAGACAGACTCAAGGTAACTTATCCTGCAGTATCAGCAGCTGCGGCGGCTGCTGCTGCTGCTGTTGCTGGTCCTCCGAAGCTTGGGTTTCCAGCTGTCGATGTTGAATTTGCTGCTCCTGCTGTTCTGACTCCTTGCGTTCTTGTTCACCTTGCCAAACCCAGACAATATCCTGCAGACCAGGTCGTAGACCGTCATCTAATATCTTCAGATATTCCAGTGTATCTCCACTTGATTTCTTCATCTCCACCAAATGAAACTCAGGAGTGACCTCAAAGATCTCCGCATCAATGGACAATATTCCCTTTCTACTTCTTTTTTTCCTTCAAGTTTAAACAATCCCCGATCCCTTTTTGTTGTCTTTAGCTTCAGACGCTTGGCAACTTCTTCCAGCTTTGAGATTATGACAGCTGCTGGTTGCCAAGAGGTGAATCTGGCTTCTTTCTTTCGTGAACTTTCTTCAAACAGTCTGGATAGATCAAATCCAGCAGAAAAAGAGATGATATCAAACGCATTTAGGTTGGTAAGTGCCAACAGGTCTTGTGTGCCATCAGTGGCTCTACTGCTATTCTCAAGGGATCTGGTCCCTGCATCTGTACTTGAAGAAGCAACTTCCTTGTTTTCTATATTGGGCTTGACTAATTTTGAATTCAATCCCCCTTAAACCAAGGATGATCCTTGATTTTTGCAATTGAGATTCTAGTATCGGATTTGGATCCAATATGCGCAAAAGCAGACGGCGCACTTCTGGTGGAAACCAATTGGGGCACTTGAACTCTGCTTTGCCAATCTTCCGATACATCTCCATCAAATTTGAGTCATGAAATGGAAGATAACCAGACAATAGAACAAATAAAATCACTCCACATGACCAAACATCAGCTTTGGCCCCATCATATCCTTTCCTATTAATGACCTCAGGAGCAACATATGCAGGAGTACCACAAGTGGTGTGAAGAAGCCCATCTTGGCGTTTTGATTCAGCTAGGGCACTTAAACCAAAGTCAGATATTTTCAGATTTTCATTCTCATCTAGAAGTAAGTTTTCTGGTTTCAAATCCCGATGATAAACCCCCTGCTATGGCAGAAATCAACTGCATTAACCAGCTGTTGAAAGTATCTTCGTGCAACATCTTCCTTCAGCTTTCCTTTAGCAACCTTGTAAAACAGTTCGCCCCTTTGGCATATTCCATTACAAAATAGATCTTGGTCTTAGTGGCCATGACCTCATAAAGTTGAACAACATTAGGGTGCTTAACAAGTCTCATAACAGATATTTCTCGCTTGATCTGATCAATAAGCCCAACCCGCAATATTTTCTCCTTATCTATCATTTTAATGGCTACACTCTGTCCAGTACTAATATCCTACCATAGTAAACCTTAGCAAATGTGCCTTGTCCTAGTAATCTACCTAATTCGTATCTTTCCATCAATACACTCACTGTATTTTCCATTTTTAAGCTACAAAATCAGTTATTTGATTAAATATTTTTTCTCCTGTTGATGCCGTACATAAATTGCGTAAGCAGGAGTGTTAGATACTTGATATCGCTCACCCGTCCTCACATATGTCATGCTTTAATAATACCAGCACTTTAAAACTTCTTGGACCAAGTTTTCCTTTGGCATTAGATGCAATTATTTGATCTAAGGTAGCAATACCATCATGGATGGAGGAATGAGAATTTGCAAAGGTCAAAACCTCGTCAACATCGGAGGGAGGCTGTGAGATGCTCAAGCACATCTTTCTGCATTCCCTGGTTTCTCCCTTTCAAAGATCAACTGGTAATGCCAAGAATATGTTGCTGAGCAACTTAATGACTTGGTGCCACTTCAAGATTAAGCTGAGATAGAGCAAGAAGTACGATCACCAGACCAGATAACCCTTAGGCCTGTGGAACAAGAAGGATAAGGTATGTGTTTATCTACAATGAGATAAGACTGCAGTATGATTGAAAAGAATTAACATAGTGAACAACAATATGATCGCAAATCCCCGTCCCCTCCCCGCTTCTTAAATCCCACCCGTCCCCTGCTAGAAAAAATTTTAAAAAAAAAAGATTGCAAAAATGTAGTGTCAAGAGCAATCGACATCCACCAATTCCAGTGAACAGGAAACACTCAAAAAGCATCAGTACACTCAATGGCAATAATTTCACCAATTATCCATTTGAAAAATGCTTATCATGAAGACCATTTTTGTCTAATATTTAAGGTTGTGAGAGTAATTACATACTGTAGACAACATATTCAGAGAAGAACTAATGGAATTGGCAATTTCAAAGCAACTCTAACATGGTTAGCGTTCATGATTATGATTTAGTGGCCAAATAATATTCTTAGGAAAATATTATTATTTTCTAATTGCTACAAAATCAACAAGATAATTCATTTCTCGGAGAATTACTATGAAATTAATTAAAGTTGTTCTCAAGCCCATATGCATGTCACGTAGATATCCTTCCTGTTCATCACGAGTCAAATCTACACACCCAGTATTACACTGGGACAAATAAGGACACGAATATCAGAAAAAACCATGCTCAATGTTGCCTAAAATAATAACAGAAACTTATAAACCCCAATTAACAGGCTAAGGATTTTCAGCCTTCTTCCTCT